AAACAATAATTATTATTTCGCAAACTTTTCTATTGAGGCTTTGATGACTTTTGATAGTCTATTTGCTGATGGAATCCTTAAACCGTTTAGTCTAAAACAACGTTTTGCTATTTAATCTCGTCATTCAAGCTTTGATAAAAGTCTAATGTTGATATATTTAACTTCTTAGCGTTGAACCTTTCTAAACAGTGTTTCGATATTTGTTCTGGAAATATAGCGATACTTTTATATAATCGATTAATACCTATTTTATTGCAACTCGATCAGATCAATTTAGCTTAATTGCACATTGTTTATTTTTCATCTATCTAGGTTGCTTAACACAAATATACAAAAATATAAGTATACATCACGTGTATTCATTATATTATATAATAATTCTGTTAATTGACAACTACGAAAGTATCTAAATCTTTATATTAAAAAACATCTCGAAAATTTATTACTAAGAAAAATTAAGGAAGAAGCAATGCTGCAAATATGTATATAACAAATCAAGTAATCTTTGCAAATTTATTAGATCTGTGCTAAAACAAAAGTGAGTATGTTGGATAAAAATTTTAGGGCGCAGCAGGATATAGGCAAGATGAACAAACACCTTACATTAAAAATTTAAAGACAATTGGAAGACGAAATAAATCTTAGACCAGACAGACTTTGTCGAAGAAAATAAATGAATTTTGAAATTATTCCCATTGAGTTATTCAACTGTATGACATCATAATGTTAGCAAATTGGCACTAATGATCAATGCTCAGGTCACATAATCTGTGCGGTTTATTCACTAGCAATCACTAAATGTTTTTATTAAGTAAAAATATTATGAAGGATATATATATTTTAATTGCTATAAATAAACAGGCTTAATCAAAGTGAAAAGATGAACAGTCCAACGATGTTTATCTGCTTGCTATCTGTCTGTATGTCAGCAATTTATTTTTAAATTTACAGAGTAACACCGCGCCCATTAATCGTCGATTTTGTCCGTGATGGAATGCAAATGTAATAGTCAAATTAAACGTAGTTGTTATTGGAACTCAAGCAGAACACAACAAATTGTAAAGACATTTTTGTAGATAGTGTTTTTACGGGTCGTGGCAAAACGATAGAGTGAGTCAGTGGTTATGTGTTTAGAAGTAGTTTACAAAGTCAAAGTTCTAATTAACGAAATTCAAGCCATCGAAAATAATCTAGAACGTATATCCAAAACGGAGTCCAAAGAAAAACTTCACAAGTTTCCAAAAAAAAAATTTTATCAATATTCAAAAAAAAACTAGGTTCGATAGAATGAGAGCACTATTGCGCTGGCATGAACGCCACGATTTGCTAATATCATATTTTCTGATAAGAGAAATTTTCCAATTGAGCAATTTTTAAACAAATAATGTCTTTGAGTTTATTTAATAGATAAGTCATACGTACATTTAGAAATTTTAATGGCCGTAAAAAATTAAGCATCACAATTTGTGACGGTTTGGCTGATCTTGATAGTCGATGGTTACTTTCCGCTGGTATTTTGGGAAATTGAAATCAATTTTAATTTTAATATTTACCAACAAAAAGTTTTTCAAGCTGTTTTGAAGGCGTAAACAAACAAACCCCTCGGTGGAAAAGCGTATGCTGAGAGATAATGTTTCACACTTTATTTCGACCATACATTCGACCTTACGATCACCAGATACGAACCCATTTCAGTCTCAGTGTAGTGCATTATACAAGCAAAGGTCAACTCTATAAGATATCAAAGTTTTGGTATGTTAAAAAATGCAAATTTTCTTAATAAATCAAGGTACAATGGGTTTATAACAATAATTCAATATTGAATTTAAAAAACTTTTCTTCGAGTA